TCCAGGCTCACATCTGGGGTTTCAATGTCCACCTTGGGTCCTGAGACATCAATGTCTGCCTTGGGCAGGTTCACATCCACATCTGGGCCTTGGCCTTTGAAGCCAGGCATGCTGAATTTAGGCATTTTCATCTTGGGCATCTTCAGGTGCCAGTCTGGGCCCTGGACGTCCACATCTGGGACATCAACGTCCACTTTGGGCCCTCTGATGTCCACACCTGGCACGTTCATTTCACCTTCTATCTTGGGCACAGACACATCCACATCCCCTTTGACTTTGGGGCCTTTCAAGTGTAAGTCCACATCTGGCATGGAGATCTTGGGGGCCTTGAAGTGTATCTCAGGCATCTTAAACTTAGGTCCTTTCAACTTTGCATCAGGACATTCTTGATCAACATCAGGAACCTCCACATCCACATAGGGACCTTTCAAATCTCCCTCCCATTTTGGCACAGACACATCCACATCCCCTTTGACTTTGGGGCCTTTCAAGTGTAAGTCTACATCAGGCATGGAAATCTTGGGGGCTTTGAAGTGCATGTCTGGCATCTTAAACTTAGGGCCTTTCAACTTTGCATCAGGACCTTCCAGATCAACGTCAGGCACCTCCACATCCACACTAGGACCTTTGATATCAACTTGCGGACCTTTGAGATCACCTTCTAGTTCTGGCACAGAAGCATCCATCTCTCCTTTCAGTTTGGGTCCCTTCAAATTCAAGTCCACATCTGGCATGGATATCTTGGGAGCTTTGATATTCAACTTAGGCATCTTAAATTTAGAACCTTTTAATTTTCCTTCTGGTCCCTCAATATCCAAATCAGGAGTATCAATGTCCACTTTGGGGCCAGAAACATTAATGTCAGCCTTTGGTAGATTCACATCTACATCGGGGCCCTCTCCTTTGAAGCCAGGCATGCTGAACTTGGGCATTTTCACCTTGGGCATCTTCAGGTGCCAGTCGGGGCCTTGAACGTCCACATCTGGGACCTCAACGTCCACTTTGGGGCCTTTGATGTCCACATCTGGCACTTTCATTTCACCTTCTATCTTGGGCCCAGACACGTCCACATCCCCCTTGACTTTGGGGCCTTTCAAGTTTAAGTCCACATCAGGCATGGAGATCTTGGGGGCTTTGAAGTGCATCTCAGGCATCTTAAACTTGGGACCCTTAAGCTTTCCTTCTGGACATTCAACATCTATATCACCAACATCCACATCCATTTTAGGGGATTTTATGTCAATTCCAGGACCTTTCAAGTCTCCTTCCACTTTGGGAAGAGAAACATCTACATCAGTTTTCAGTTTAGGGGCTTTCAGGTTAAGTCCAACATCAGGCATAGAGATTTTGTGTGTTTGTATATGCATGCTTGGCATCTTGAACTTGGAACCCTTTAGTTTCCCCTCTGGACCTTCAATATTCACATCTGGAACATCAATGTCCACCTTGGGTCCTGAGACGTCAATGTCAGCCTTGGGTAGGTTCACATCCACTTCTGGGCCCTCTCCTCTGAAGCCAGGCATGCTGATCTTGGGCATTTTTATCTTGGGCATCTTCAGGTGCCAGTCTGGACCATGAACTCCCACATCTGGTGCATTAATGTCTACTTTTGTACCTTCGGTGTCAATGTCAGGAGCTTTAATCTCTCCTTCTACTTTTGGAACCGTAACATCATAATCTCCTTTCATTTTATGGCCTTTCAGATGCAGACTAACATCAGGCATGGATATCTTCTGAGGCTTTATATTCATTTCTGGCAACTTAAATTTAGGACCTTTTAGTTTTGCATCTGGACCTTCAATATTCACATTTGGAACTTCAACATCCACCTTGGGTGCAGAGACATCAATGTCAGCTCCAGGCAGGTTCACATCCACTTCTGGCCCCTCTCCTTTGAAGCCAGGCATGCTGATCTTGGGCATTTTTATCTTGGGCATCTTCAGGTGCCAGTCTGGGCCATGAACATCCACGTCGGGGACGTCAATGTCCACTTTGGGACCTTTGATGTCAACCTCTGGCCCTTTCAGACCGCCTTCAACTTTGGGCAGAGAAACATCCACATCACCTTTCACCTTGGGGTTTTTGAGGTTTAAATCAATGTCTGGCATAGAGATCTTCGGAGGCTTGAAGTGCATCTCAGGCATCTTAAACTTAGGACCCTTGAGCTTCCCTTCTGCACCTTCAAGGCTCACATCTGGGGCTTCAATCTCAACTTTGGGTGCAGAGACATCAATGTCAGCTTTAGGCAGGTTCACATCCACTTCTGGGCCCTCTCCTCTGAAGCCAGGCATGCTGAACTTGGGCATTTTCATCTTGGGCATCTTCACATGCCAGTCAGGGCCTTGAACATCCACATCTGGAACATCAACATCCACTTTGGGGCCTTTGATGTCCACATCTGACACTTTCATTTCACCTTCTATCTTGGGCACAGACACACCCACATCCCCTTTGACTCTGGGGCCTTTCAAGTGTAAGTCCACATCAGGCATGGAGACTTTGGGGCCCTTGAAGTGCATCTCAGGCATCTTAAACTTGGGACCCTTAAGCTTTCCTTCTGGCCCCTCAAGGTTCACATCTGGGGCTTCAATGTCCACCTTGGGTCCTGAGACATCTATGTCAGCTGTGGGCAGGTTCACATCCATTTCAGGGCCCTCTCCTCTGAAGCCAGGCATGCTGAACTTGGGCATTTTCATCTTGGGCATCTTCAGGTGCCAGTCGGGGCCTTGAACGCCCACATCTGGAACATCAACATCCACTTTGGGGCCTTTGATGTCCACATCTGGCACGTTCATTTCACCTTCTGTCTTGGGCACAGACACATCCACACCCCCTTTGACTTTAGGGCCTTTCAAGTGTAAGTCTACATCAGGCATGGAGATCTTGGGGGCCTTGAAGTGCATCTCAGGCATCTTAAACTTGGGACCCTTAAGCTTTCCTTCTGGCCCCTCAAGGCTCACATCTGGGGCTTCAATGTCCACCTTGGGTCCTGAGACATCAATGTCAGCCTTGGGTGGATTCACGTCCACTTCAGGGCCCTCTCCTTTGAAGCCAGGCATGCTGAATTTGGGCATTTTCATCTTGGGCATCTTCAGGTGCCAGTCGGGGCCTTGAACATCAACATCTGGGAGATCAACGTCCACTTTGGGGCCTTTAATGTCCACATCGGGCACTTTCATTTCACCTTCTATCTTGGGCACCGACACATCCACATCCCCTTTGACTTTGGGGCCTTTCAAGTTTAAGTCCACATCAGGCATGGAGATCTTGGGGGCCTTGAAGTGCATCTCAGGCATCTTAAACTTGGGACCCTTAAGCTTTCCTTCTGGCCCCTCCAGGCTCACATCTGGGGCTTCAATGTCCACCTTGGGTCCTGAGACCTCAATGTCAGCCTTGGGCTGTTTCATGTCCACATCTGGGCCCTCGCCTTTGAAGCCTGGCATGCTGAATTTCGGCATTTTCATCTTGGGCATCTTCAGACTCCAGTCTGCATCCTGAACTTCCACATCTGGTGCTTTAACATCTACTTTGGGACCTTTGATGTCCCCATGTGGAGCTTTCATCTCACCTTCTATTTTTGGTGCAGACATATCTAGATTCCCTTTCATTTTGGGTCCTTTAAAATCCATGTCAACATCTGGCAGGGTCATCTTGGGAGCTCTGAAGTGCATCTCAGGCATCTTAAACTTAGGGCCTTTCAACTTCCCTTCTGGTCCTTCAAGGCTCAGATCTGGAGCACTAATATCTACCTTGTGTGCAGAAATGTCAACATCAGCCTTGGGCAGGTTCACATCCAATTCTGGGCCCTCTCCTTTAAGGCTGGGCCTGGTGAATCTGGGCATTTTCATCTTTGGCATCTTTAGGTTCCAATCAGGACTGTGAACTCCAACATCTGAGGCACTGACGTCTACCTTTGGCCCCTTCAGGTCCCCTTCCAGTTTTGGCACTGTAACATCATATTCCCCTTTTACCTTGGGACCTTTCATATGCAAATCTACATCAGGCATGGAGATCTTGGGGGCCTTGATATTCACGTCAGGCATCTTAAACTTGGGACCCTTCAGCTTTCCTTCAGGTCCTTCAATAGTCACATCTGGAAGTTCAACATCCACCTTGGGTCCAGCGATGTCAATGTCAGTCTTGGGCAGGTTCACATCCACTTCTGGGACCTCTGCTTTGAGGCCGGGCATGCTGAACTTGGGCATTTTCATTTTGGGCATCTTCAGGTGCCAGTCTGGGCCTTGAATGTCCACATCTGGAGCATCAATGTCCAGTTTGGCACTTTTAAGTTCAACATCAGGAACTTTAATCTCACCTTCCACCTTCGGCACTGTGACATCATATTCTCCTTTTACACTAGGGCCTTTCAAATGTAAGTCCACGTCTGGTATGGAGATCTTCGGGGCTTTGATATTCATCTCAGGCATCTTAAACTTGGGTCCTTTCAATTTCCCCTCTGGTCCCTCAATACTCACATCTGGAGCACAGACATCTACCTTGGGCCCAGAAATGTCCACATCAGGCTCAGGCAGGTTTACATTCACTTCGGGGCCCTCTGCTTTGAACCCTGGCACAGTGAATTTGGGCATTTTCATCTTGGGCATCTTCAGGTGCCAGTCTGGGCCATGAACATCCACATTAGGGGCATCAATGTCCACTTTGGGGCCTCTCATCTCTCCTTCAAGTTTTGTTGCTGTTACATCATACTGTCCTTTTACCTTTGGGCCTTTCACATGCAAATCCACATCAGGCATGGTGATCTTTGGTGTCTTGACACTCACTTCAGGCAGCTGAACATCAGGACCTTTAAGGTTGCCCACCAGGCCCCCTATGTTGACCTTTGGGGCTTCCACACTGACCTTGGGCCCTGAAATACTGACATCACCTTTGGGGAGATTCACATCTACATCTGGCCCTTCCCCTTTAACTCCTGGAGTGCTGAACTTGGGCATTTTCATCTTGGGCATTTTCAGGTTCCAGTCCGGACCATGAATGTCCACATCTGGGGCACTGACATCCACTTTGGGGCCTCTGACATCAACTTCAGGGACACCGACTTTCCCCTCTACTTTTGGAAGCGTGACATCCACACCCCCTTTCACCTTTGGTGCGGCAACATTTAAGTCTACGTCTGCCATAGAGATCTTGCAGGTTCCTTCTTTCCCAGAAGGACCACTAAACTTGGGGCCAGTCACGGTCCCCTCTAGGCTGGGTGTCTCTATGTCCACTTTGGCGCCTTTAACTGCCACTTGAGGGCCTTTAACATCACCTTGAACCCCAGGAGCAGAAACCTTAATGTCTCCTTTCAGTTTAGGGGACCTGAGGCTCAGATCCACATCCTGCATGGAGATTTTAGGTGTCTGAACAGTCACTTCAGGAGTCTTGATTTTAGGACCTTTCACCTTCCCTTCCAGTCCCCCAGAAGCAACCTCAGGTAGGCCAACATCCCCAGAGACCCCAGGAAGTGTCACATCAATGCCAGCTCCCTCTCCCTTAGAACCTGATACAGAGAATTTGGGGGCCTTCACCTTGGGCATATTCAGTTTGCCCCCTGGCCCGTGAATATCAATGTTAGGAGTTTGAACTTCCACCCTGGAGCCAGCGATGCTGCCCTCGATTTTGGGCACAGAGATGTCCACCCTTGAACTCCCCTGTGGCTTGGTACCTTTCAGGCCCAGGTCACCCTCAAGGGATGGCCCAGTGATCTGGGGGCCCTTCAGCTTCCCCTCAAGCCCCTTAATACTGGCAGAGGGACCACTGACTTCTAGCTGAGGGGTCTGGATGTTCCCGCCAATGGTCAAGCCTGGCTTGCCACCCTTGTGCCCCACAGAGAATTCAGGGGCAGAAACACTCAACCCTCCCTCTGGGGCCTGACCCTCAAGCCCTGTTGAGACACCAAATTTTGGGAGCTTCATGGAGGGAAATTTAATTTTCCCATCGTTGCCACTCTCAAGAGCTGGGCCCTGCCACTCTGCTGCCCCACCCCCAAGAGAAGACAGAACGTCCACCCCTGGGACTTGGACCCCTCCTTTGCTACCTAAGTCCAAGCCCTTTGCACTGACACTGACACCCGGGCTTCCCACCTTTATCCCAGGCCCGGTGACCTGGACCTTCGAGTCGCCAGCACATTGGAGCTCTGGTCCTGAAGTGGAAATGGACCCTGCTTGGATGTCCACAGTGGAGCCTGTGGTGGGGGACAGTGCCCCCGAGCCCGAGGGCAGTCTGATCACTGTCTTCCCAGGCTGGGTGTCCACATCCACGGTGGAGATTTCAGTCAGTTCGTGCCGTGGAATCTTGATCTTGAACTCAGGGCTGCTGATGTCGATGTCCTTGGCTCCTTCGCGGCTTGTCACGTCCACAGTGTAGGCTGTGACCCTCCTAGTCACCGTGATGGTGCGGCTCTGGGTCTCCCCAGGCTCCCCTTCCACTCCATCCTCCGGCTTCAGCCGAGGCTTGATCTTCGTGGTGTAGATGCGCTGGTACTCCTCGTCATCCCCGCTCTGCAGAAACACACGCCCCCCACAGGTTGCAGCAGCGTCTGCGTGAGTGACAGCCGCCTGGCCGCAGCCCAGCCCACAGCATGGTTGCCTGTTTCCCAAAGAAGCCGGGACCGTAAGGGAGGCCCACGGAGCCTCCTGGGACACAGCACAGGGGACTGAAGAGAGGGGCTGACGGCCACACCACAGGAGGAGAACAGAAATTACTTGGGGAATCTCTGGTAAGCAAAAGCCATGGGGAGTGGCGACAGGTAGACTCCCAGACAGTGGAGTCTGGGAGAAGGATTTACAATCAATTCTAGATTCGAATCGGCCCAGCAGGTCTCAGGGACACCTCCCGGTGACTAGCTCCGTGTTGACTGGACCTTCAGCTCTCACCTCTCGCCTCTCACCTGCCTGGCTTGTTTGTTTAATCTGCAGGGGAATCCTCCCAGGGACCCTTCGGAAAGCATTTGTTGAGCCTGGTTGTGCCAGGGTTAACATTTCCACTTTGAGGACTCATTATTTGTTAAGTAAACAAGCCATCAGAAGCAGCAGAGAACTGTCCCTCAGGCACTCTGCTGCCCAGCCTCTGACTCACAGATGAGTCCAGGCCTCTGGAAGTAGAAAAATGATGTCTGTGAGGCAGAACTGGGCACCTGTGAAATCATTTCAAAGATGCCTGCAAAGCAGCCAACTTCCTCCTGGCACCAAGGAATAGACCAACGAGTGGGTCCCCAGGCGGGGACCCTCGGAAGAGACTGACAGAAGACTTTTAGCGGCAGCCACACGTGAAAAGGAGAAACAGGCTGGCTCTACAGAGAGCAGAGGGTGAGAGCAGGAGAGAAGCCAGGAAGGACAAGCTGCCCAGCGGGCGGACAGAGGCTCAGGAAGGGGGACCAGCCCGTCGGCGTGGTCGGGGGAGCTAAGGGCACGGCCAGCCGGCCAGGCACTCACCAGAACCACGTCAGGGCTGTGGGAGCTGAAGACATCGTAGGTCCGGGTCTGGCCGGGCTCAGGGGAACGGTCCCCCTTGCGATGCAGCTTCAGGCCCACGGCGTGGTGCCCCATGGTGCTCAGCAGCTGGGCCACCTCTCCGGACTGCAGGTTGTCAAAGTAGATGGTAGCACCCACGATCTGGTCCCCTGAGCAGGGAGGAGCGGGAAGCGGGTAAGACCACCCAGGGTCTCGGGGAAACAACACACAACCACTCTGTGCCGGGCCCTCAGACTGACGTGCAGGTGTGGTAACACCCATTGTAGAGATGAGGAAACTGAGGCAGAGAGGCCACCTAATTTGCCCAAAGTGGCAGAGCTCATGGGTGGAGGAGTCGGAACAGAGGACGGCGCGTCCACCAGTCCTCAGGACCACCTCCCGCGAGGACTGTGAGAGAACCAGGGATAGAGAGCGGGCAGGGGAGGGCAGGGCTTAGGTACCGGCCATCCTGATGCCACTGGGACCCAGCCCTCCACAACCACCCACCCACTTGTGCTGCCCCTGCCTTTCCCTCCAGCACCCTCCCCCTCCCCGTCCCAGCAGCAGCCCGTACCCCGAGGTAACTCACCCTCCTTGACCACCCCAGTGCGGGCCGCCCGGGAGTTCTGCATCACCTCCTGCACAAAGACGCCATCGTCCCTCTGGGTGATGGTCAGCCCGTGGGAGCCGCTGCCCTGCCAGTTGGGCAGCAGCAGCTCCCGGGTCGTCTCTTCCTCCTTCTCCATCTGGATGAGGTAAGGAAACGGGGCAGTGGGGGCATGAGGGGATGGGGAAGCCAGGGGTCCCCCTGGGCGTGGGGCACTGTCTCCGAGGTGCCTGCCTCCACTGTGGGCGGGCTCCCAAGGTGGACGGTGGACACAGCCGCAGCGGAGGCAACCGGCCCCTCGTCCTGTCCCCCCCGGCCCTGCCTCCCGATAGCACGTGCCTCCCGGGTCTCTGCCCTCCCCATCCTCTCACCTCCACCGCCCTCGTCACCCTCCCTCCTACTGACCTTGGCAGGACTTGGTTCAGGAGCGGATGCCTTGCCAGAAGCCCGCCCCTCCTTCCTCTCCTCTCCTCGGAGTGTCTCTCTCTTGGGAATCTCGGTCACACAGCCTAGGGAGAAGGTCACATTCGGGCTCACACTCAGCACTTGGCTTGTCGAAACCCCGACCAGCTGCTGTGCAAGAGACGGCCGGTTGTTTTGCCCACCCCCCCGGGCCAAACCAAATCCCCAACCCCGCTACTGTCATCAGCTCCATTCACACAAGACTCTGCAGCCTGGGATCACAGGAAGGGGGTTTGGAAGAGGCCAGACTCAGATTCAAATCCTGGCTCTGCATCTTCCCGGCTGTGTGACCCGGGCCAAGTCACTTAACTTCTCTGAACTTCCATTTCCTCATCTGAGAAAATGGAGACGATAAAGAATTCCCATGAGGACTGAAGGAGCAAGAGAAAGCATGTGAGAAAAGCTCTGGCCCATCGGAGCCTCCCAACAACCCCATTCTCATTAGGTCCCTTGTAACAGCTTCAGCCCCCATAGTGCAGGTGGGGAAACCGAGATTCGGAGAGGCCAGCCGGCCGGGGGTGCACCGTGAGAGAGCAGCTACGATCGGGCTCTGAGCCTGTAACTCTTCCTCCGATGCCATATCAGGCCTGCAGCTCTAACCTGTGCGAGACCCCTCCTCAGACTCTCTGGCACTGGGGGCCACTGGCAACCTGCAAGCAGGGCTGGCTGGTGGTGCCCTCCCTCCGCCAGTGGCCGACAGTGAGTGACTCCGGGTCACCCTAACCCCAGCCTCAGAACCAGGGGGACGCTCGCCAGCTGGGAGCTCCAGGAGCCCTGCCACAGGCAGAGGCCAAACAATGGAAGCCCCAGGCCCCCCAGCACCGGCCCAAGCCCAAGAGGCTGCGGTCCAGCTGTGCTGCCTCAAGGACGTGGTGAGTCAGGGCCCATCTGGCTACACCTGCTGGGCCCTGAAACCAGGCCCCCATAGGTGCGGGCACTGAGGGAGCAAAGACACCCTCCAGCCACGGGATGAACTGTCGGCTGCAGAGGCGCCGGGGAAGACACCAGGCAGGCCTCCAGCCTCCAGACACCCAGAAGTACGCCTGTGAAACCGTGCGGGGGGTGCTATAAATCGTGGAGAACCTCGCCCAAAGCTCCTCCCTAAATCTGCTGACACCCAGAAATTAGCCAACCAATCAATAAATACATGCATACTGATCGTCTCCTGTATGTCCAACATTGTACAGGACACTGCCGAGAAGTCTAGCAAGGGACAGACACAGCTCAGCCCAGCACTGAACTCTACACTGCATCAGGCTATCACCTCACTTCACTCATGCGTCCTCCAAACGTTTACTGAATGCACTCCACGTGCCAGCTATGGAGAGTTAAAAGACTTAGCTTCTGTCCCGGATATAAGTTATGAGCAAGGTGCTCTGGGCATGACCAATTTCGCCTCTGAATGTTCCGGAAGGCTTGGGAGCCTTCTGGGGGAATGAAATCTAAATGGAGTCTTGAAGGTGCTGAGTTTGCCTCTGAGGACGGGATTCATGGAAATTCATAGGCACTGAGGACTTCCAGTGTCAGGCAGATCACAACACCGGAGAAAACAGCCACAGACACCCGGTTCGCCAGCCACCTGCACTCGCTCACGCGGTAGTTACGTCAGCACAGGTGCCGGCTAGGAGGCCAGCGGCAGCCAGTTGGCACAGGTGTGAGCTGAGGAACTCAATTCCTTCCTTCCTACCGGAAGTCCCGCTGACCCTACCCATAGTGAAACAGCAAGCCGGAGCTTAAATGGTGCCTTCCCCCGGCATCCAGCACTGAGAAGCCAGCCCTGCAGACAAGGAGTCAGGCAGGGCAGGGAAGGAAAGGGCTTCCACCCGAGGGCTTCTCAGATCCCCGAAGCCACCGCCTGCACTGGCACGCCCCTCTTCCTCCTTGAGCAGGGCCCCTTTTTTCAGCCCAGCATCTGGTGCTGAGCCAGCAGGCGGCGATGGGGCAGCAAGCCAGACAGCTCACCCTCGCCCACGTCTCAGCCCCACCTTCCCTCCTTCCCCAGTGAGTCACTGCGGCCGCAGTAGCTCCAGACACGCCAAGGGTCACGCCTAAAACCCGATCGACCAAGTGCTTCACGGGCCAGACCCCCGGGGGCCAGAGGGGCTGGGGCCCGGTGAGAGGCAGGGGGCTTCCCTGCCAGCTGCTCGGCACAGAGCCCCAGGCCCGGAGTCCAGGGAAGCACAGCTGGGAGGCTCAGGAGGGATGTACCACATGCCTCAACCCCTGGGGCTAGCGAGGAGGCCATCCTGAGCAGAGAAAGGGCCACAGTCCGTGAGAAGAGGAGGCGCTGGACCCAAGGCTGCAGGTTGGCCCTGGCAGGGCACCCGCTGGCTTCCCAGCCAGGCAGGGCTGCCAACCACCACGCCTGCTCTGGCTCAGGCCTCACCTCCTGGCACAGCCAGGAAAGACTCCCCTCCTCTTTCATCTGACCTGGCCGGGCATGGGGGTGCTGATAGGGGATTCGGGACCATGGTGGCAAGGGCCTATTTTCTGCACTTGGGTCCCAGCCCTCCATCTCGCCCACCCCTGGGGCCTGTACCGAGCCCAGATGGGCCTTCCTTCTCCTCCCGCACAAGTCAGGTGAAGCCAGCTACCCGGGGGGCTGGGGCTCCACCTTGCTGCTGCCCAAAGCAGGGTCTCTGGAGCTTTGGGGAATTCCACACATTCAGTCAAGTGGCATAAGCCCTCGGAGTGGAAGAAACCTTAGGCCACATGTGGCTATTTAAATGTAAGTTAATTTAACTTAAACATTTAGTCCATTGGTTATAGTAGCCGCACTTCAAGAGCTCAACAGCCACGCAGGGCGACCATGTTAGAAGCGCAAGTACAGAACATTTCTACCGCTGCAAAGTCCTGTGGGACAGCACCACCTGCTATTTACAGATGGGGATAGTGAGGTCCAGAGCCCTGAGAATGGCGGAGTGTTGGGGCCCTAGAACCCAGGACTGCTAGCTCCCTGCCCGCAGTCCACCCGACACTGGCTCACAGTAACCTTCGTGATGGGATGGGCTGGACTGGAGACCCTCTAAGACACAGGGCTGCCTGGAGGGCAAAAAAGGAGTGATTTGGTGAGGCCACTCCAGCTTCAAGGTAGAGAGGATACGCAACTGAGGCTGCAGGGACAGAGTGTAATTCAGGCCAGAAGCGGCTAGAGAAGAGCGAAGCGCCCTGACAGTTCAAAACCACAAAGGAGGATGTGCAGAGCAGCAGGGCTCTGCCCATGCCACCTCTGCAGACTGGGGGCAACACCCAGGCAAAGCCGGGACAAGGCCCGGGAGACAGACTCTTTGCCCCAGGAAGATGGTCTCCGCCAGGTGTTACCTCCAGAGGAACATGTTCTCCCACTGCTCCCAGGAAACAGAGCCCCTTCTGCCCAAGATCCAGTATGAAAACAGCCAGGGAGGGGACCCAGCCTAACGGCTGCAGCAGCCAAAGACAACCTCGCAGCCAGCGTCAGCGTCAAGATGACAGGAACTGATACACACACACACCCGAGAGTCAGGCCCACGGGCCTCAAGGCCTCCACGCACCAACCCCGGAGTCAAGATACACAGCAGAGGGACAGAAGTTTGTCCATATGCCCAGCACAGGCGGGACACAGGAGGTGACACTCCAAGGCAGAAGGGAGCACACCCACCCACGGTGGGGAGGACGCTGACAGCAATGAAACTTCCACCCAGCACACGAGCAAACCGGGGCCACCGTACACACAGGCCAGGGGGAAGCAAGCTCAGAACTCCTCAAGCTCAGAACCCAAGCTCAGAACAATGAGGTGACTCACACCAGAGCCACAGACTCCCACCAGCGGGAAAGCTGTGAACACTTATAACCAGGACCAGGGGCTGAGACATTCGGAGAAAAGAGAGACACGCCCCGGAGAGGCCGTCTACGCTCACGAACACTCCCCGGGCAGTCACAAGGATGAGAAAGCTCCGCATTAAAAGAAAACGTCACCGCCACCCCCACCCCGGCCCCGGCCCCGCCCCCGGCCCCGCCCCAGGGGGAGAGAAAGAGAACTTTGCAGAGCTCCTATGGTGCCCCAGGACACCAAGGGGTCCCCTTCCTTCCCCAAACAACCCTATGTGATTAAGAATTAATATCCTGATTTTAGAGTGCAGAAATAGGCCCCAAGGTAAAATGACTTGCCCGAGTATGAGACAGAGTTGAAATACAAGCCCGGGGTTCTCTGACTCCAAGGCCTCTCTACCCACGGACAGCGACAAAGGCACAAATAAACACACAAGAGAGGATGAGAAACCACAGAGAAAGATGTACAAGGGAGATACACGGGAGGGAGAGACCGAGAGACCTATACTGGAGGGGGGCAGAGTGAGAGCTGGAGAGGCACGACCACAGGAAGGCGGAGAGGCCTCCACACTCATCCAGAGGGAGCAGACGTTGTGGGAGGAGGATGTCTCGGAGGGACAGAAACACACAGAAAGAGAGGGGCTGAGATTCGGGTAGGGGCGCGGGTAGAGACCCCAGGAAGCAGTGATGCCCGTCAAGGTGCACCAGCACACGGGGAAGGGGGAGTGGCCATCAGCTTCTTGCCCACACACCAGCCTTGTCCTGGCCCAGCTTGGGGACAGCTAGCCCAGAATGGGCAGGGTCCCAGGCACCCCAGAGCCCAGGATCCGAGGGCCCTTTTGGTTCTGAGTCATCAACGCTGTGTTCCCAGGAGCCAGAGATCCTGAGCCACCCGGAACCCAGCTCACCTGCAGACTCTCTGGACCCCAGCCGGTGAAGACCAAGAGAATCATCCCCTTCTGGGCTTGGCAGGCACCAGACCCACTCTAGAGACGGGCACCCGCAGGGCAAGGCAAACATTTCCACTCACTGGGAAATCCCAGGTCCAGAGGAACAAGGAGGAATACAGGGGCGCCTCTCTTCCAGCGCCGAAGCCTCCAAACGGACCTCCACATAGGCAGCCGCCAGACCTTGGTCTGGAAAACAACCTGCCCCATTCTAACTGGAGTAGCACCGCGTTCCATTCAGAGTCTACGCTGGAACCAAAAACTCTGAGGTCAGCTGATTCTGGACGGCACACCCCCAGGGGGCACTTTCAACTTGAATGGGGTATGTGTGTTGGGGAGGGCGAATCATCAGGGAGAATTTGACGAACATGTTGCAAGACACAGGCAACATGGGCACTGGAGAAACAATCAAAGAAAGACACACAGGGAAGCACACACAACCCGGGCACGCAGACACACTCCTCAGTCCCCCCTCCTCACAGCCCAGAGCAGGCCCACAGCCCCTGCCTCCCCCAGCTCACCACAGACACCTGTCTGCGCGGCCCCAGGCCCTGCGCATCATGGAGGGAGCCTCTACCTGTTAACCTGGTGCCCAGATTCCGTGCCTCCCTCTAGCGCGTGCGCCCGCCTAGCTCCTCCCTGGCTACCGGGGCTGCTGGTCCCGCCCACACTTCCCACTTGGAGCAAGTTTTTCCAGCCTCATCACTCCAGCCCTCTCCTCCACGTCAGCCCCTTCCCCTGGCCCCTCACCATCACACTAGAGTTTCCTGCCCCTCGACTTCCAGAGCAGCCCCCCACCCCCACTCCAGCCAGCCAGCCGCTTTCAGGGCTCCACCCAGCCACCTTTCTCCATCTCTGTCCCCTGGCCCCTCCCACTCCCGCAGCCCCAGCGCTCCAAGTTCAAGCTTCCAACAGGGAGAGAGATTCCTTCTTCCTCCCCTGACCAAGATGGACTCCCCTCTCCTTCTGGCAGGGACTGGGGACAGCTTCCATTCTCCAGCGGGCAGTCCCCACACCTGGCCACCTCGCCAGGGAAGAGTGGGCCTTGACCCTGGACGGCTGGGATTAAGACAGCAGCTGGGGGATGGGGGGCTCCTCCTGACTGGGGCAAGGGGTGAAGAAGAGCTCGCTGTCTCACCGGGTCTCGCCCCGGGGGTAGATTACAGTTTGGGAGCTGCCCGCGGACAAGACCAAGGCGGATCTCTCCGCCCAGAGGTCGGGTCACGCTAGTGCAGGGGCTCGGGGCCAGGCCACTCGGCTCAGCTGCCAAAGAGCCACCCCCCCCCAGCCCGGCCAGGACGCAAAACCAGGCGCTTCCCCTTCCCTAGAACCTCCGCTCCAGCCCCCGGGGACCGGGCAGGATGCCCCCCTCCCTGACCGGCCCTGTGCGGCGCCTCGCTCAGCCTGGATCGGCGCAGCCTCACTCCCACGGCTGTGCTCACCCTCCCTGCGGCCTCTGGACACAAACTCCAGGGCCTGGAACCTGTCCAGGATGGAGAAACTTACTTGAGCCCTTACCTACAGCCCCTGAAGCCCCCATGAAACCTCCACCACTGGGACAGAGTCCCACTGTTGTCCCCTGCTCTATAAACCCCAGACGCAAGCAGAGGTGACACATCCAGGACCAGTGAGCACAGCCAGAGACACCCTCTCATAGGTAATAACACATATCTCTCTGCTGTGACACTAGCAGTCACAGGGACTCAAGGCCACAGTGAAACAGGGACCCCAGACCCAAGACCTCCAGTACAACAGCCCAGGCCCCCAGATGTGGACTGAGGCCAGCAGGGAGGAAGAGGGGCTCAATCAAAACACACGTTCCTGCTGAGCCCGCTGTGCCCCCTCCCCCCAGCGTGGTCCTCACAACTCCTCGGGCTCGCCCAGGCCTGGAGGAAACCGCTTGTTCTCAGGAAGGCCTGGGAGCCCAGCGGGATGGTCGCAGCCCAGGGAAATGGCAGCTCCCTAGGAGCCTGGATAAAGCCCATGGGGGTCAGAGGGAGAACAGAAGGCCCCAGACACCCACCAGCTGAAACGTCCCATTCTCACCGCTCTCCAGGGGCCACCTCCTTTCCCCGTGTGCACACGTACCTGATCAGCCCAGCTCCAGGGAGAGAAGCTTGGGGCTTCCAGGTGTGGTGGGGAGGACAGAGCCGGCATGGGAGAGTTCCCAGCAGGAGTCAGACTAGCTCTCCCAGTCTGCCTCTCTGTCCGTCCCCCAGTGGTTCCCAGGTTCTGAAGAAGGTGACAGCCACACCCCAGAGTCCCACACACTCCTCCACTCCCACAGCTTTGCCCCAACCCCTCAAACAAGCTCCTCAGGCTCTGGGTGGCGTGCTCTGCCAGGGCCAGCCAGCCAATTCCGAGTGAGCCTAAGAATCCAGCCCAGCAGTGCCCAAGCACCTCCACCCACGGCCTTCCTGGGACTAGGGTGACCCTGGGGACCCCCGGCCCATACCCTGCCCTTGGCTGATTCTGGCTTTCTCCTTCCACAAGTCCCCCATGGTTTACTCTATTGGGTCCCACTTTGAGCCCTGGACCTGTAGATGCATGCCCTTCAACCAAGTCTGGCTGGTACAAGTTCTCAGCTCTGTGAGGTTAACTCTGCAAGAAGTTGCCCAAACCAGGACCCCTGACTCACTGCTGTGGGCCCACAGCTGCAGCTCTAAGCCCCACACGACTTCTGTGGCTCCCTCTGTGTCCCGGTTCTCTGAACAATGTCCCTGCATAGAACCTTTAAAGACAGGGCTTTGCAGAGGGGCTCAGGCACCCTCCAATCCGCATTGCCAATACTCCAGACCCTTTGACTTCTGCTAGCCCAGCTCTCATGGTCCCAGGTCCTCTCCCCGCTACCTCATCCCACAGCTCCCAGCTCAGAGCAAGGAGGTACCCCCTCAGCCTGGGGCTCCCTTCTACTCCCCACTCTGCACACACACCAACCAAGTGCTGGCCCAACCCATCACCCCTGGGTGCCAAGGTGAAGGCAGCTGCCCCGCTCAGCCTCGGAAAGGAAGTGAGAGCCACACCCTGCCCCACAGATTTCCCTCATGGGGGGCAGGGGAAGAGGGGCGGAATGAAAGCAGAATCTACTCCCTGAATTTAGACCCATTACAGGTGAGGAGGCCCTAAAATGCCTTCCAAGGCATCTTCAGTCCTTCCCTCCTTTCCCCGAAATCCCTCACCGTCACCTGTCACCGCAACCCTCCAATGCGTCACTGTGTCCCACAGAATCAACCCAATCCCTATCCTGTGCTAGGCTGTGCACAGGGCATGCGACCCCTGCAGTCAGAGGCTGGATTCTAATAAACTGTTTCAAAACCAATTATTGGCAGCCCAGCACAGTGCTGGGGACCCAGAGGTAAATATCTGGGTCCCTTTTCCTCCCGAAAGCCCAGGTCATTCTCTAAGGACCTCACTGCCATGGGAAGATCCCACTTTGCCTTTCCACAAATCCACTCCACAGAGCAGGGCACCCAGCGGCAGGCTCCCTGGGGGCACCTCACCTCCTCCTCAGTGGCAGCCACGCCCTGTGAAAGGCACACACACGAGGCACACAATTCTCCGTGGCCACAACGTGCAGAGGCGCCAGAGCTGTCCCCACGTGGTGCTGGGGCCCAGCTAGTGCCGTGAGATGCCCCATCTGCCCATTCGGCTCCCCTCCCACGCATGGGGCACAGTCAGCCCTGCTCAGACCCCACGTGTCCCTCGTGGCCAGAGACGCCAAAGGGCTGCGCCCCCGCCTCCCAAGGCCCTGGCACTGCAGGGGGCGCCGAGCCCGCCAGCGGAGGGCCGGCCCTCGCACACTGCACACCCTCTCCCTGCATGGGAAAGCCTTACATAACACAGTTCTCTGAACACACCCTAAGCCCAGTGCCTTTCCAACTCCACGGCAGGACCTCGCCCCCCAGCCGCCTCTCCAGGAGCGCGTCTCTGGAGAGGAGGGCTCCAGCCAGGGAGGGCAGCTGAGCCCTCCTCCCACGCCAGCCGGGCTCCTGCCCCCGCCTCCCTAACCAGCCCCTTCGCCGCCCTCCCCTTTGCCCCTCACCACTCCTCCCCGAGTTCTGGTTTGAATTAGTCACCGGCTCCAACCACCACATTCCTCAGGCTGCTGGCGCCGAGCCAGGCGCTGGGGCGGGGGCCGTCCCACCCGGCCTGGTTTGGGAGTGGGGTTGGGGAGAGAGCGCCGCTTCGGAAGGGGAAGGGGCGGTCCCGAGGGCTATGCCGCGGCACAGCCCCCCTCCCCGCCCACCCCAGCGCAGGCATCTCTCCAATTATGTCCCCCACCCCCACTCCCACCCGTCCCGCTGCCGGGCGAGCTGCAAACTCCTAGGCTCAGCGACCCCAGCGGAAGAAGGGAGTTTTCTGGAGCTGGGAACACAGAGGGGCAAGACTAGGGCGGGGCAGCTGGAGGGAGGCTGAGGGGCCGCTCGGAGCAAGAAAAGGAGAGGCTGGTGGTGCAGAACTGGGTGGGGCCGGGAGGACCCGGGACGCGAAGTCAGGGGCGGAGGTGTGGGGCGCGGGGAGGGACGGCGGAGGGGGTGCGCGGCGCGGGGCCGCTGGGGCGCCGGGCGGGGCCGAGGGGCCGCGCCGCGATCTCGGAAACTTCTCCAGTAAACATGGAATAGGAACGAAGCAGCGCGCTCAGCCACCGCCCCAAGGAGAAGGAGAGGGTGGGACAGGGGCCACCAGGCCAAGAACGGGCGCCCGGCCGTGCAGCAGGGACCACAGCCAGCCCTCGAGAGAAAGACAGACTGGAGCAAACCGCGTCTCGGAGCGATTTTCCAACTTTGCCCAACTTGCGCCCCTACCAGCGCCCCAACTCCGGAGGCAGAGCTCGGCTCCCAGGACGCGACGCGTCGCCTCCCCGTGCGGCCCGGGGCTGCCCACCTTGCGCCGAACTGAATCTTCCCAGTGACACCCGCCCAAGGCGCCTCGCCCAAGCCCTGCCACCCACCTCCCCTCGCGCGTTCCCGGAGTCCCGTTCCCCGATTGCGCCGAGGTGCGCCCGGCGCCCCTACCTGCGCGCTCAGCCCCAGGGCACAGCCATAGCCAGCGCAGGGCCCGAGGTCGCGGTGCTGCGGCTGCTGCGGGCGGCGAGCCCCGGTCGGGGCGGGTCCGGCAGGGCGGGCGGTGCAGTCCCCGCGGCGGAGCTGCTCCGAGTGGCCCGGCCCCCGTGCGCGGAGGCGGCTCTTGTAACTCCGGCTGGGGCGGGCGGGCGGGTCTGCCCTGAGCGGTGGGGAGAGGGCGGGGCCGGGCGAGGCCGAAGCGGGGCTGGGACTGGTGAGCGGGGCCAACCCTGAAGGCACCAGGGAACGCGCTGTTGGGAGGGCACTGGGGGCCGCGGGGACCCGGGGACGCCGCACGTCCGAGGTGCTGCCTTCCCCTCCCCCCATCCACTGCCCCCCGTCCTGGCCCGGGCCTGGATCTACCCCCAAAGGATGCGCTATGTGGCTTCTTCGGCAAGAAACTCCTCGAAGCTCCCTGAGGTTCATCCTCACAGCTGGAACTGCGAATCAGCCCATTTTTCAGGAAGGACCAAGGGGTTCAGGCTGCGGCTGGGGGACTTGGGTGATTCAGCCGCGACCGCCAGCCTGACGCGGACCTTTGAGTTTTCTCTCAACACGGGCAGCTACCCTTCAAATCCTCGGCCCCAGGCTCCTCACTCGGTTCCCAGGCTCCACGCAGCCGCGCGCATTTCTCACCTTCTCTCTTTCTGGGGGCCCTCCCCCCACAGAACCAGCCTGGAGACGCTCGCCCCACCTGCTGGAGTCAGGGTCACCAGTGCCCCCCGTGCCACCGTGCTGCTCCGGCCGCTGCAGCGACACCGGAGTCAGGCCTGCACCCCTTGGAGGAGCAGAGCCCGCTGTCTACCTCCCTGACCCCCGCTTTTCTCTTCCTACCTATTTCTTCTCCGACCCCCTCCCTCCACCACCCCACTGGCCGGACGCAGAGTTTCCAAATTTAAGCCATTTCCCACAGGCACTTCTAACTACACGGAGATTTTATTAAACGCTTAATGACGGGGTGCAGGGGCCTTCTGGCTACACCCTCATTCGCTTCTACCCCGTCAGTTCTCTTATCCTCCTTCCTGGATGGCCACCCACTACCCACGCGAAGCCAGTTTTCCTTCCTTCTGGAATGCTGCGTGCAGAAGGGAGACCCCAGGCTGGGGACCTGAGAAGACCTGGCCCCGGCAGGGAGCGCCCTCCTCGCTGTATGATCATGAGTGGGCTGGGGCTGAGACCAGCGGCCCTGTCCTCTGAAATGGCAAGCATGTTTACAGGCTAAAAATACCCAGCAGCCAACTCTGCTGCCAGCCCTGGGGGCTGTGTCCCAGGTCCAGTTACCAGCACAGGGTACAGGCATGGGGGAGGGAAGAGATAGCCAAAGGAGCCACAGACAGGCAGACACTCAGATAATGAACACAGAAAGGTGGAGACACATGTGTAGACATTCAGACAAGCATAGACATGCAGAGACACATAGTCAAAGCACAGACTTGGGCACCAGCATTCTCTCATTCCCTCTCTCTCTCTCTCTCTCTCTCTCTCTCTCTCTCTCTCTCTCACACACACACACACACACACACACACACACACACAGTGACTCAAACCCGCAGCAGAGTCGGTTCCACCACCCATATCACAAACACACAATCAGAAACGCAGACTTTCTGAAGAATCACCTCCACCTCCATTGTGGTCTGCACCCCTTTCCCAGCACCTACTTTATTTAAAGAAAAAATCTAAACTTTTCAACTTTGGGATGCTTTAAAAAATAAAAATAGAGACCAAGAGCTAATTATTTCCTATACCAATGGCTTTTTAAAATTTACCTCATTTTAAATAACATTTACTCAGTTTTTAAATATGAACCAAGAATACAGACAAAGTGGCCTGTGATCCTACAAGTCAGATAATCCTTGTTGCTGTTTCTGAAACAAAATCAATACCTCCATAGGGTGAAGAATGTCAGTACAGAAAAGTAGAACAATGAAAAGTAGACATCTCGGGCTTCCCTGGTGGCGCAGTGGTTGAGAGTCCGCCTGCCGATGCAGGGGAAACGGGTTCGTGCCCCGGTCCGGGAAGATCCCACATGCCGCGGAGCGGCTGGGCCCGTGAGCCATGGCCGCTGAGCCTGCGCGTCCGGAGCCTGTGCTCCGCAACGGGAGAGGCCACAACAGTGAGAGGCCCGCGTACCGCAAAAAAAAAAAAAAAAAAAGTAGACATCTCCCCCCCCACCCAGTCCCTCTCCCCAAAAGTAATCACTGTTAACAGTTTACCGACGGATTTTAACTTTACAAAATGAATCATTTGGCTCCTTGAAAGTACAAGGGTTTCCAGTGCATATTAAGACGGGAGCTGATTTGCAGGTAGGTTTTTCAGAAAGATAGCTCTGGAAAGATGGCCATGGGATTTTGGAGGGAGGTGGCTGGTTCAGGAAAGGAAGAGTGGGGAACGGTGTGGATATTGTCCCCTCACCTCAGCTTGGGCGCCATCAGCCCCCCAGGAGTGAAAGAGCAGAGGCTAGTGTCCTGGGCTCAGAGCCAACTTATCTGCTCCATTGTTTGTCCCGGCCACCCTCTTGGTCAACAGAGAAAAAGGCGGAGAGGATGGTCGGGGAGCAGCCGCAGAGCAGGGATTACTGTCCAGGTACTTCATTCAGCGGTAGGAGGGTCAGGATACCTGCTGGGAGGTGGTCCTGGGGACTGGCTCCTGCCGCATTCTAGGCTAGGAGGGTAGATAAGCGGTAACCTAGACCCTGCCCTCTAAAAAGCCATGATCGTGCCTGCCAGACCAAAGCTGGGGTTTCCTAGGTCAGCCTCCTCAGCCCAGGCGAAGGGAGTATCTTCAACAGGTGGCAATGGTGCAACTGGAGACACACACTTTTAGAAATTTCTGCCGACCCTGTTCCTTCCGCCCACTGCTGTAGCCCCCAGCTTTCACTCCCCGAAGCTACCTCAGTGGGGATTGTGCCTGACACTGCTGCAGGCACTTGACGTGTCAGCTCATTTAATCCTCACATGCAGGAAGGAAAGGGTCTCAGAGAGGGGCAGTGATTTACCTAAAATCACACAACCCTCAGAAACAGGAGTCAAAGCTCCCGCCAGCATCTAAGCTCCACGAGGGCAGGAATTCTTTGTTCTCAGCTGTATACGCCACGCCTAGAGCAGTAGTTGGCACCAAGCAATCACTCCAGAACACTTGGTTAAATGTGTGAATGAGTGGATGAACTACAGGTATAAATGGCCCCAAAGCCCTTGTTCTTTATACAACAGCATCCTGTACCCCATGATTCCCATGAGGGGAAGTCAGCTTCCCCTTGCTCTCAGCCTCAGGGAGCACTTCCCCCACGTGTAG